ACTTTCTGAATGGTAGGCCTAGAGATCTTCACATGCGGTAAGTATAATTAGCAAAATTGCAGCCTTTCTTTCACAGGTTGGAAGAAAATGACAGTAAGAGTATATTAATTTACGATTTCTTCATTATTTCCATTTAATCAGATTAGGAACTTGTGGCAGCTTGCTATTGAAAATGAACATATTCTGCTTGTCTTCCAGAACAATAAAATAGGTCTGTAATTAATAGATGTCTATTATATTAGTTTATTTAATAATTAATCAGAAGAGCAGTTAGAAGCAGGTTTTCCCTCATCTAAATGTGTGGACCTTTACATAAAGATCCAAATTCTCAAAGGATGGGTGGAACAGAGCCAGTTCCCTTGCTGATGCCATCTCCCCTTCCCCCCAGAGCCATGAGCCATTAAGGGCACTGTACCCACCCTGAGGACAGAATGAAGGCTGTGATTTCTAAGCACTTTGAGAAGTGTGCGGTCCATGCTAAGAGCAAAAAAGAGAGTGCGGAGGGTCAATCTGATATTCTGTGGACTGCCCAAGCCTTCAGATCCTTCCTCACACCTTTGGAGGGGGAATGATGTGTCTTGTGAAGAATTCACAGCAGGGACAACAGTGATTGCACAGAGCGGTGCTTACGAAGACTCATTTAACAGACAAGCCTATGTTCTCTGTGTACTTTGCACTGTGCTAGATTCAGGGGCTATGGAAATTCAAGTCCCTTTCATAAAAAAGATCCCCTTTTTGAGGATTTAGGACATCTTTGTGAAAAGAGAATGTAGGGAGAGAATTCATTGGAGTACCTGCCGTAAGTATGTGCTTAGGCAGATTACTTATCTTGTCACAGTCAACAATTTTGAAAGTAAAGGTAAAAAAAAAAATGAAACTTTCTAACATTCTTTCTCCTCTTCATTAAAAATTATGTTACAAGTGTTGTCTGAATTATTCTATTTGAAAACCTATTAAATTTGCCAAGAGTCCTTGTATAATTGAAAGTTACTACTCTTTCAAAATAGGTTTAGGGAGACTAGTCTTTGCATGCTTTGGTATAAAGGAGGTAAATAACAAATAAATAGCTGGACAAAGATAATGTTTTGTGTTTAGTTTTATCCATGAGAAAGGAAAGCTCTACAAGGTTGGTAATAAAGTATCTCAAATTAAGTTGCTATCTATTGATCTCTATAAAGCTGTATGTCTGTACTGCTATCTCTGTGTCTCTCTATCTTGTATCTGTATAGTGGACCACATGCTATTATTTAAGAAGTAGAATTCAGACTTGGTACCTGTAGCACGCTGGCTATGGTGCCAGCCACATACACCGAAGTTGGCGGGTTCGAACTCGGCCCAGGCCAGCTAACCAACGATGACAACTGCAACAAATAAAAGCCAGGCATTCTGGTGGGCACCTGTAGTCCCAACTACTTGGGTGGTTGAGGAAGAGAATTGCTTGAGCCCGAGTTTGAAGTTGCTGTGATACCACGGCACTCTACCAAGGGTGATGTAGTGAGACTCTGCCTCAAAAAATAATAAAAATAAAATAAAAATAAAAAGTAGAATTCAGGAGAATTGGATTCATCGTTTGTTTTGAATTTGAAAATTTTATTTCTATGGCTAATAATCACCTCATTAGTAATGACACACTGAAATAAAAAGCAAAAACATTTTTGGAACCGCATGTATTCAAAGTTCTGATCATATGGGTAATGTAAGCGACTTTTATTCTTTTTAAATTAAAAACAATAACTATAAGGCAAAAATAAGGATGCACCAACATGTATAAATTTCTATAACTACAATTCTGTCCAGTATTAAATTGACATAGTCTGTGACTAAATATGAATCTAGCCTTTCTGCATTAGGCTTTAGAAAGAGGAAATTTAAACACAACGAAAATACTTTTCCAGGTTCTTAAGCTCCCAGGCTTATCATGCTGTCTTCTTGGCATCTATGGAATAATTTTAAGGGAAATCATTTGCAATATGTATTATTCTCATACAGAAATGATCACTGTTTACACACTTTGAGTTAACCCATGTGACCTTTTCCTTGAATTGTTAACTATTTTGCACATTGACAAAAGGCCTTGTAAAATGAAAGTCAAAAAAAAATACACTTAAAATTAGTTTGTTTCTTTTTTTTCACTGAAAGCACTTCTGAGGAACTGTATTTAATAAACCTTCTTTGGTGTAAAGCCTCCCCTTAAAATTTTTTTGTGAGCAACTTTTGACACTTTTAATGATAATATACAAGATGAGGCATCTGAATACTGATACCCATTTAGAAGTCCATCAGCATTGACACAAGAAAATGTCTTAACAAGGGAACTATTTAGAGAGACTTAGATTCTTTGGGTATGCCTTATTATATACTCCGTAGGCAGTATTCTGAGTCTCCTAGGACCCCAGATTTCCAGAGCTTGGCGTGTTTTCATAGATGTCAAATGTGTCCTTTCCATGTGAAGCTAATTGTCCTCCCCTGGCAGCCTGGGCCCTCAGAGGTCAGCAAAGGTGTGCATTAGCTTTCTGATGGTTTTTGTTAAAATTTCCTACATTACTAGGGACAAATTAGTTGTGTTATTAGCAGTATTGCAGGATACTGCAGTATAGTAAGGAAGGTGCCTGGTATGATTTTCATGCTACCATGCGTGCTCTAAACCCAGTCCCCTAAGTGCCCCTGGGCGCGAGAGCACGAGAAGCCGGGAGGCCCTCACAGTGCAGCCCTCCTTGCAGTGAAGAGTAGCAAGAAACTCACTTTGACTTGAGAATTGAATAGCATGACATCAAGGTTACAGTATAAAAGCATATCTGTATTCTCCAGACCTCATTTTGACAAAGTGACTTTTTTCTCCAGAAGGCCGTTGTAGCATTTTTCTTTTTTCTACAGTTGGTTCCACTTCCCACTGTTTGTTATATCAATCTCTTCCTCTCAGTAAAAGTAGGATGTAGATTCCTGCTCAAGAGGAAATGCCTCAGGGTTAATTCTTGACCCTTTTCAAACTAGACCCACTGAAAGTGTCTAGTTTTTAAGTAAATTAAAAGATTATTAGGAAATGGCCATATGAAAGTGTGGAAAAAATTAGGACAAAATTATATTAATTCATGATAGACTCAAACATTTCTAAGAGAAATTATTTTTATCCATTTCATTATGATGGACAATTCATCATCAACTTCATTTTAAAAACTCAAGATGAGGACAGCGCCTGTGGCTCAGTGGGTAAGGCTCCAGCCTCATATACCAAGGGTGGCAGGTTCAAGCCCAGCCCCAGCCAAATTGCAACAAAAAAATAGCCAGGCATTGTGGCAGGCACCTGTAGTCCCAGCTACTCGGGAGGCTGAGGCAAAGTCTCCTCGCCTAAGCCTAGGAATTGGAGGTTGCTGTGAGCTGCGATGCAACAGCACTCTACCGAGGGGGATAAAGTGAGACTCTGTCTCTAAAAAAAAAAAACAGAAAAGATGAGTTCTGAGATTACTTTGATGACTATATTAATAGAGTTTTGTATAAAAGGTCATTTCAGAATTCTTCTGCATTTATTTCTATCAACCAGTTTTATTTTCTTTATGAAAATATCTAGGCTTAGGCTCTTTGAGAATATAAAAAGGAAAAATTTTTTTAAAAGATGCTAAACATATGATCAATCTTCAGAAGAACAGAGCTGAGTTACTTTCCAAGTGAGCTGACATGTGTGTTTCCCATCACGGCATCCACAGCCTCTGTCCTGCCCCACCCCCAGATTTTATCTTGGTTTAGATGATGAGAAAAGTCACTAAGTTAAAACTTAACATTTAAGCAAAGAAACTAGGTATCACTGTAGATTTAGAGTTCATAAAAGAGATAGAAAAAGCTCAGTCTTGTATAAGTCAAGTTACAAATACCAGAGGAGGAATTTTTAGATAACAGAGTCAAGTGTAGTAATGGCCACTGGGCATGGTGTCTCACACCTGTAATGTCAGTGTTACTGGAGTTTCTTTCTTCAGTAAGTCCTTGGTCTTGAGGATTTAAAGAATGAACTCACAGGCCACAGATCAGTGATAAGATAGGATTTGTTGAACGGAAAGGACTATAGAAGGAGTAAAAAGCTTCAGGACAGAAGGACTAAAAAGCACTAGAGCTTCAGGCAGAGGGAAAGACCCAAGTGGGAAGACTCTATGTGGATCCTTTATCTAGGGCTACAAGGTCTTGAGAATTATATTTGGCCAGGACTTGGTAGAGGAAACACTTTTTCAGTATTAATGAATGTCATTGACAAATGAATGAACTGGTAGTCCCTCCAGCTTAAGGCAAAAGATTTAGCGCCCCCCACATGAAACTGCCCAGACCTAGGAAAACTGAGGTCCTCTGTCCAGCCCTGAATGGAAGAACCCTATATCACCAGCACTTTGAGTGCAGGAGGCTCGTTTGAGGCCAAGTAGTTGGAGACCAGCCTGGGCAACATAATGAGACTCTTGTTTCTAGAAATAAAAAATAAAAATAAATTAGCTGGGCATGGTGGCACACACCTGTAGTCTCAGCCATTTGGGAGGCTGAGGGGGTAGGATGGCTCCCAGGAGTATGAGGTTACAGTGAGCTATGATTGTGCCACTACACTCCAGCCTGGGCAACAGAGGGAGATCCTGTCTCTGAAAACAAACAAACAAAAGAACAGTACTGGGGCTTGGCGCCTGCAGCTCAGTAGCTAGGACACCAGCCACATACACCAGAGCTGGCGAGTTTGAACCCAGCTCATGCCTGCCAAACAACGACAACTACAACCAAAAAATTACCGGGCATTGTGGCGGGTGCCTATATTCCCAGCTACTTGGGAGGCGGAGGCAAGAGAATCACTTAAGCCCAAGACTTGTAGGTTGTTGTGAGCTGTGAGGCCATGGCACTCTACTCAGGGGAGCATAGTGAGACTCTGTCTCAAAAAAGAACAGTACTGGGTGTGGATTCAAGTGAAAGTCTATGAGTAAACTGACAAAGTGTATGTGTCAGGTTCTTATCTCTGCAATTGTTTGTTCCCTCAACAGAGCTACAGTGAACCTGTTGACGTGAAGACGTCTCAGCCTCCTCAACTGATCAGTTCAAAGCCGTCCGTGTTCCATGGGCCCAGCCAGGCCCACTCGGCTCTGTACCTAAGTTCCCACTATCATCAACAGCCAGGAGTGAATCCTCACCTCACTGCCATGCATCCCAGCCTCCCCAGGAACATCGCCCCCAAGCCGAATAACCAAATGCCAGTGACTGTGTCCATAGCGAACATGGCCGTGTCCCCCCCACCCCCACTCCAGATCAGCCCGCCTCTTCACCAGCATCTCAACCTGCAGCAGCACCAAACTCTGGCCATGCAGCAGCCCCTTGGGAACCAGCTCCCCATGCAGGTCCAGGCTGCCTTACACTCTCCCACCATGCAGCAAGTGAGTACTGTGACTCCGGGACAAGGGTTAGCGCCCTCGTCTGAAGGGCTGGGGTGGGGGAGCCTGCAAGTTCAGCAGAAATGGGGGTATGTGTTTTCTATTCTTCCACATAAGTGTAGGCAGAGAGAGCTGAAGATGCTCAATGCATATCTGCTCTCTGCAAAATGTGACTTGGGGGCTGAGTTTGTGCGGCGTTACACCATAATGATGACTGATGGCTGATTCTTTCCATAATCACTAGTTTCTTCTCCATCATAGCTATTTTGTTTCACATTTCTAATCACCCTTCTTGTTTTCTGTTTTTTGAGTAAAGTACATTTGTTATTTTAAGATTTCAAGTGCTGCCAAAAATCTCTTTGGAATAGAGAATTCTATGATTTTTTCAAAAAAATATTGTTTGGAAATGAGAAAGTCTTGACTGGTATACATGTTGAGTCCAGTAAAAGCTAACCAGTGAAATCAGGTTCAATACCAAATTTGGTGAACACTGAAAGTCCTCAGAACTGAACATTTTAACCAGAATTTTATTTTAAAAAAGGAGATCTGGCTTCTGTATAAATTGGAAAACACAGGAGGTTTAGAAGCCTCCCTGCCTGCTCCCTGATTATTGAAACCATTCATGTGCAAGCTTCTTTTGAAATCAAGTTTTCCTTTTGGATTTCGGTGTGATTTTAAAATCTGAAAATCAGGAGAAAAACAATGAAATTGAAATTCAGCTTAACTCTTGAAAATCCTAAAAACTTGTTCTAGGAAATTAAGGTAAAATTTACAAATGATATTAAATGCAGTTATCACTTTTATAATCCAATTACTCTATTGTTCTCAGAGCTGTTAAGTAAATAAGGCAAACATAGCCTTCCTACAGAACTGATATCTACCTCTCTGTGGAATCTGTTTCTATGGCTGGACTGTGGGAAGGGGATAGGGTGAGGAACCAGAAAGAGAAATCAAATATATGTGGTCCCAAATTCATTATTATTGTTGTAGACAGGATTTCTGAGAGCCGAAAATAACAAAGCCAATGCTTTAATACATTGCCTCATCATTAATTCTCAGAAAATGTACAATGTAGGTGCTAGCATTATCTTCATTTCACAGAGGAGGGAGCCAAGGGCCTCAGCAGACCATAGGACCTAACATGCTCATAAGGTCAGAGCTAGAATTCAAACCCAGATCTGTTCAGAAATCAAAGGCTGGATTTTTAAATGCTAGGCTTGTGGCCTCTTCAGTTTCAATCATCTTTGACTATAGATTACTTCACATTAGAGAACCTGTTTCTCCTAAGAATTTGGAGGATCTGTAAATCCTGGTCAGTTTTAAAATCCCATTATTATGAAGAGGAAAGGGATTCATTTCCTTACTGAAGCCTTTATGATCCCTAAGCCAAAATATTGATAAAGCTATGACAACTTTCTCACCTGAATTTAATAGACCAATTGTGGATTCACTGAGGAAGAAATCTGCAGTGAAAGCCACCACCCTACCTTGTCTAGAGAGACATGTGACCAAGTCAGATTCAGGGTCAGAAATCCACTCTTCTCATCAGACATCATTCATGATAAAAGGAGTATTCTTGGTGTGTTAATGTACCAATAGTGTTTGCATGAAGAATGAATAGTTTGAGGGATACTGCCTTGGGTTGGGTGTGACTTAAAGGTGTTGCCCAGCTAAGGACCCATGTTCTGCTCACAGAGCTATAGTTGGGAGCTGTGCTTTCCTGGAGGAAAGAATGCCAAAATCCAGTCCCCTTACCAAGCTGAGAGCTAGGGCTCCATCCAGATGGGAGATTTTTTTCCTAATAGATCCACTCAAAGATGGTTCCTGTTTCTGTTTATTCTAACTCTAACACCTTGGATGAGCTGGCTATGATCCTGAATAGGTTTTTTTTTGTTTTTTTTTTAGAGACAGAGTCTCTCTTTATCGCCCTTGGTAGAGTGCTGTGGTGTCACAGCTCACAGCAACCTCCAGCTCTTGGGGTGATTCTCCTGCCTCAGCCTCCCAAGTAGCTGGGACTATAGGTGCCCACCCAGCTATTTTTTTGTTGCAATTTGGCCTGGGCTGGGTTTGAACCTGCCACCCTCGGTGTATGGGGCTGGTGCCCTATTCATTGAGCCACAGGTGCCGCGCTGAATAGTTTTCAGATATTTCAGACTTACACAAGGCCACATGTAAAAATTCAAGAGATTTGTCTCTCCATGAAGAGTCTTAACTAAATAGGAAAAAAATAGAACAGATTATATTGGACAAGTTTTTCATCCATCTTTAAGTCAGTTGCATTAGTTTGTGTCAAAATGTGTTCTTACTGAGAATGTAGGGCCTAATTTCAATTTACATACTAACAGAAGACAAAATGGCATGAATAAATAGCTATAGAGACGACTTTAACTAAAATCACTTTAAACAAGACCTTGATCAAGCTAAGTAGTTAACATAGTTGTTGAGTGATAAACAAACAAATGAGTAGCCAGTTCCTTCTCTTAGAAGGAATTATGGATTAGGTTGTAGAATCTCAATTCCTTGGAAGTTTTGAAAAATTAATTGATTCGAAAACATTAATTAAACCCTTAACATGTGCCACACTGTCTAGAGTCTGGAAACTGAGTGATAAATGAGAACAAGTAATGAGACCTCCACCACCTTGGAGTTGAGGGGTAGAGGTGAGGGTGGTAATAAGATGAACAAATAACAACAATCCCATGAGAAACATCAAACTGGAAGACAGACTGCAGAGTGCATGGGGAAGGGCAGAGCCTACAGTTCTGATGGACAGGGAAGGCCCCTCTTCAGGGCTGGCACTAAAGTCTGGATGAGAGAGGAGGTAAGGATAAGAGAAGGGACTGGTTAGACACTGGAAGTGAAAATGGCATGGGGGAACAAAGACCAGCAGTGAGGAAAAAGGACTTAGGGCTTGTCCAGGAGGCAGGGGGGAAGCCAGTGGGAAGCAGGCGGATAGAGACTGAGGTGGGGGGAGTTCAACGTCATGGGAGTAAGATCTGGCAGGTCAAAGGAAATGGCAGTCCCCATAAGTCAATAATCCTAAAATCTGGATCAGAAGGGGAATCCATCAGTCCTTGGTATCACTTCATTTACTGCAGTCACAACAGACTGTCAGGGCCAAGTGCCAAGTCATCAGTTAGTCTTTACCCTGTAACAGCAAACCCAAGTTGTGGGTAAAAGTTGAGCTGTCCGATTCATCATCCAAATCAGCTTTACCCTAAAGATGCTTGCTGTCTCCCAAGGGGGCCACATTTACATATTCAAACACCAAAAAGAAAAAAAAAGGAGAAAGAAACGTTAAATGGCTACTGAATTTTAAAAATAATGTCTCATATTTCAGCATTACTTTCGATATTTTATCACCCTGTTGAAAATGAATATATCCTACAAAAATGATTGTGTAGCCTACCAGGAAAAATGGTTTCAGTTTTTTCCTAGAATAATATTTTATACTGAACCCATGGACCTAGTTCTTTTCTTTTGTCCAGTTTTCTGACATTTTTTCTGTTCACTATATTGTCGAATGAGGTCAAGAGAAAAAAATCATTAATATCTGTCAACTTCCTTTATAACCTTAAGAAAAAAAATCTTTGTATGATATCACACAGACAGATTTTCAATTTCCTTGTGTAGTAAACAGCCGCTTTAGGATTTGGGTGTAATTTAAAGGTTTTTTTAAAAATCACATTGAGATTGATGAATAAATCAGTTGTGAAGACAAAAACACTGATGCCTGTTGAAAATACCTCTCCAGACAGGCAGGAAATGAAATTAGTTCCCAGTAAAGTGTGGATATGAGGATCACTGTTTGAATGTGCTGCAGGCTTTTTCGGACTTGCTATGGTGGCACAAGAAAACTGTTAGGGCTACAGAAATCTAATTAAAGAGCAAATGTCCCTTCTGACATCAAATTAATCTTTATCATGTTTCCTATTTTTATTTCAATCTGGCACCAGAAAATGAAATTTAAAATTCCAGTCATGCTACAAAACAGTTGGTGATTTTTCTCCTGAGTATTAAAATGCAAAATATTCAGTCTTGTTTAATTAGACTGCTAAGCAAACATTTTTCAGAAAATTTACATCATCATTGTTTCATGTTTACATCAATGAGAAATACGTACTTAGCTCCAAGTTTGACCTCAGCATCTCTTTATGGAGTGTTCAGAAGAGTATCTCATTTTCTTTTTTTTTTTTTCATTTTCTAAATCAAAAGAAAGTAAAATAATATTAAATAATATTACTTCGTAGTTTGCTTGTATTTTTCTTGGTCCTTGACTCTTTTGATATGAATGATCTTCTCAAATTTAGACATTGAAGTTAGCTGAATTTTAAAGCTTTGAACTTTGTACACAAATAATTTTGGTTTTATAAACTAAAGTCACCTATTTCATCTTAAACTATTAGTAACTTAAAACATAATGTTTTCTAATGATTCTCTAACCCACCTGAGGAACTATTTTCATTAGATGGGGAAGAGAAAAAAAAAATGGTGGTTTCTTTTGTTTGTTTTCATTGGGAAAGAGGTTGCAAGGGAGGTGGGGTTTTTTGAGTGGAGGCAGGTTTTTCATTTGCTTATGTTTGTGTTTTTCTTTTGCTTTTGCATGTTTCCATACCTTCAACTAAGTCAAGATATTTCGACCATGCTTTTTTGATACCTGTTGATAAATTAGGTTATATTTTGTCATTGTGTAAAAAATCCAATGTGGAGAACTCTACATTTATAAAGCCCTGGCATTTACAAATTTATATATTCCTGTGCCTTTCCAATAGTACCATTGAACAATCTGTACTAAACTTTACTTAATGAAAAATATGATTTATTGAGCCACTACTATGGGTTAGGCCCCTGAGCACTTGAAACGCCCTTATCCCAAGGGTGTTTCCCCAATCAGAGCTTCCTCCTACTCTTTGCCTAGTGTCACACTCACCAGGGAAGGAAACTGAGAAGTCTGAACACTAAGCCCCATGAAAACATTTCACTGACGCCAGTCAGAGTCCGTACAGGTTAGAGACCTGGGTCAGTCTGGAGCTGGTGTCCTCCAACTACAGCCCATGGGCCACATGCGGCCCTCCCAGGACATTTATCCAGCCCGCCTGGTGTTTTTGCCACCACTGCCTGTCCTGTTTCGCAACCAACTCGTCCCAGGGCCTACAGTTCAGCCCTCCAGTGGTCTGAGGGACAGTGAACTGGCCCCCTATTTAAAAAGTTTGAGGACCCCTAGTCTGGAGAAAGAGAAATTCAGCCTGGAAAGAACTGGCAGCCCAAATAGCCAGCTCTATCTCTTACTGTGACCCTTCTCATTTTGGAAGATGTTTATGGTTTGAGCTAAAGGTGGTATCTACGCAGATAAACTTCTTTCCCATTTGTTCATTTAGAAAACAGTTTATTTCTTGTAGTCTGTGGGAGGTCAAATAACTGGTCTGGCTGAATTCTCCATTTTTTCATGATTTGTTTTCCTGTCATTCAGAAATTGGGAGGGAGTTGGTGGAGACATTGGCTTTAAGTCTTTATCATTTGAACAGAAAATAGTATCTTAAACCCCATATTGAGAATTAAGAACACTTGACAATAAGGTGTCTTCGATCATTACAAAGGATCACCCAAATATGATAAAAATTCAAGGAAATGTCCTCAAAAATCAATCCTGTAATCATCCTACTGAGTTTTTTAAAAAGTAAAAATTCAACAATCCTACGCCTTCAAAATCTCTCTGCAAGTGAATAGAGAATGGTTCCTTTTTAAAAACTTAGTGGTTACAAACTTTGTCTGGACTCTGCTGCAGAGACAACCATGTGATTAATTAAGTTGCTTTTTTGGTCAATTCCAACAGAGCTTGCTTATGCTTTTCTTGAATTCACCAGAGAAGCTAAAAATAAATTTTAGCATATAATGCTTTTTGTTTACCAGATATAGCTATATACTTCAGAGATTCTGTCCTTGAATTTTTAATAGCTTTGCTGGGATTAGAAGTCAACACTTCACCATGCTAGTGTATTAGAAGAATCTTCCTGAAGTCTGATTATTGTTTGTTAGTTAATAGGTTTTTCAATTAAAAAATATTTGTTTTGTCTTTCCCTTTTCCCCCTCTGTGTTTTCCAATGGCAAGTTGTTTTGAATCTTTTCCTCTGTATTAGTCCAACAACTGTTAAAAAGCTTTGGTTGAAATTTTTTAGCTGAGAGAGAAATACAAATAAAAGAAGAAGCAGATGGTCCCTTTGTGATTGAATGAAGAAAAAGGGTTTTGAGAACAATGTGTGAATAGGTGTAGCCTAATAAAACACTCAGCCACCTGCTGCCTGAATCCTTCAAAAAAGATTCTGTTGCATATTTTGCGGATTAACTATTAATGTATCCTTAGGTTTAATAGAAAACATAAACTCTGAGGGGTTTAGGCCCTTTTCTCCCTTTATTTTGATTGAGTTGGCGTCTCTATATTTCAAATTGTTTCTCAATTCAATTTATCTGCTCAAGAGTATAATTAAAGGTTCTCTGACACATAGATAAATGAAGCAGAGGGAAGAAGAATGGGGCTGTGGGCGATTCTGTTATACCTTTAAGTTTTTCTGGGCCCTACTGATAGGCTTGCCTTTGCAGAGACAGAAGCCAGAGGCCTAGTGTGTTTGCAAAGAATGAATAAATATTTAGGTGCTTTTCTTCTTAAAAAGGCGCTTTGATCCTTATTTGCGGACTTGCTTTCCCTTTCAGGGATTTACTCTTCAACCCGACTATCAGACTATTATCAATCCTACATCTACAGCTGCACAAGTTGTCACCCAAGCAATGGAGTATGTGCGTTCGGGGTGCAGAAATCCTCCCCCTCAGCCGGTGGACTGGAATAATGACTACTGCAGTAGTGGGTAAGCGGCCGGCCGTCGCCACCTGGTGGTAGGTTGCGCTCATAAGCATGCATGTCGTGTCCTGTCCCTTCCTCCTGTCTTCGTGCTTTCAAATAAAAAAACATGATCCGGGATGGTTCCCGGTTCATGAAGGCAGAAGACAGTGCTCCAAAAATGTTTAAGCAGTCTTCTAGCCCCTACAAACACAAGCACCTTTATATCACTGTTCGTTTTAGATGTAGGTTGGTTAAATGTTCACTTTTCCAGTGGATGTGTCCATCCCTCAGGTTAGAAGTAATTCAAAACCTACCTCCCCCATGGGCACCTGTGGCACAGGCCATCTTCTAACAAGGAACTTTGTTTTCTCTTCACACAGGGGCGTGCAGAGGGACAAAGCACTGTACCTTACCTGAGAATCTGAACACCTTTCTTTCCACTGAGGAATTCAGGGAAGTCTTTTCATCATGGATTGCTTTGTACAGTCAAGGCAGTTCTTCATTTTATTAGAAAAAATACAAGTTGCTAAGCACTTAGGACCATTTGAGCTTGTGGGTCACCCACTCTGGGAGAAATAGTCATGCTTCTTTATTATTTTTTTAACCCTTTATGGACATTGTTTTTCTTCTTCCCTGAAGGAAATCTGGACCATTCAGATTTTATGTTGGTTTTTGCTGTGAAGTGCTGCGCTCTAGTAACTGCCTTAGCAACGGTAGCTGTCTCCGATTACAGTCCTGGATTTTCCATTGGTTTTCATAATGGGTGTTTATATGAAACTACTAAAGACTTTTTAAATGGCTTGATGTAGCAGTCATAGCAAGTTTGTAAATAGCATCTATGTTACACTCTCCTAGAGTATAAAATGTGAATGTTTTTGTAGCTAAATTGTAATTTGAAACTGGCTCATTCCAGTTTATTGATTTCACAATAGGGGATAAATTGGCAAACATTCATATTTTTACTTCATTTTTAAAACAATAAATAGTTCTATATTTTCAAAATATTCGAAATTAAAAATTATTCCCAATGATTTTAATTTAAAAGCAAATTGGCTTTGTCTCATTAATCAGACAAAAATAAATAAATAAACCTAGTGTTAAGGGAAGCGCAAACACATTTATTTTGTACCGCTTTTTTTGTATCACTTTTTGTGTAATGGCTAGTAAAATGTCATTTAAGTCCTTTCATGTATAAAATTGCCAAAAGCTTACCTGGTATTTTATTAGATGCAGAAACCGATTGGAAACAGCTAAATTATAACCTCTCTATATGGCCGTGTATCATTGTTTCTTCATACTGTGTCTGTATTTAATCTTTTTTTATGGAACCTGTTGCGCCTATTTATGAAATAATAAATATAGGTGTTTGTAAGTAAATTTGTTAGTATTTGAAAGAGGTTTCTTTGATGTTTTAACTTTTGCTGGCAAAAAAAAAAATTCACGCTTGGTGTGAATACTTTATTATTTAGTTTTTACAGTGACATGAATAAAGCCAAACCTGCCTTTCATTTAGCAGCAAATTAAAGTCACCAATCTTTATTTCTGCATTTCTTTGGTTAATACAAACAAAAAACTTTTATATTTAAGAACTCTCTTTCTTTGTCTGATATAATGGAATTGCCCCAAAGTCACACCAGCTCTAAGACCACACAAACTCATGAGTCCTCTGTCTCAAAGAGGGGGTTTCTTGCTTCTCAGTTGGTTCTAGTCAATTCTAAAACCTCCCTCCCCCGCCACCAAAAAAAAAAAAAAAAATTAAAATCTTATCAACCAAATTCCTCAAGCTGCACACTTTTCACCAAATCCGGAAAACATTTAAGATGTAAAGGAGGGTGGGAAAAAGTAAATGAAAGTGTACTATCAAGAATACATCTGTAAATGAAAGGTGAGTAACCAGGCAGCAAAAAAAAAAGGGCAGGCCATTCAAATTTGAGAGCTGCTGATAGAAAATAATTGAGATTCTTTCTATCTTTTGTGCCTCTACAAGCTACTTCTCTTTCCAGAATTCCAGGGTCTTCCAACAGGATTCTGAGGGAACTGGGGATTTACGAAGGAATAAAAAGTACCTAGGATCTGGCCAAAGGTTTGGATAGCTTTTACATCAGAAAGAGCTAGCAAATGATTCCTTTACTGAGGATTGATCCAGAAAGTTAGTCTGGTTGGAAATCAAGAGACTATCTCTTTCATGGGATATGTGAAATAAATTTAGCAATTTAACTAAATATAAATATATTCATTGTGTAATCCAGTCAGAATTAAAAAGACAAAAGGTATGCTTGCTTTTGGAATGATTTTAGGCAATGTACAACCTTGACTCACTTGAGCATGTAATAACTAATAAATAATGCAGATCCGATGTGATTATGAAAATGACTGTAGCTGAGAGCTCTAATTTTCCTGTCTTGAATCTGTATAAGAACTCATGTGATTAAGTTCCCAGTTTATTGTTTCTCTGTTTAGTATTTTAGAAATATACCAGCACTGCTAATTAACTAATGTCTTTTATTTATTATATTATGATAGAGTAAAATTTTCACTTGCATTAAGTCTGAACTGAGAAGGTAATTACTGGGATGAGAACAAGCGGCTTTGATGTGGCAGGCAGTTCATACAGGAAAGTGCAGCGCTGTGTTGTTTACAGCTTTTCTGGAGCAGCTGCAACCAGGGTAGAGAGTGTGGAAATTTGATACCAAATACAGTAAAAACAAATGTAAATAAAAGAAAATAACATCGTCAATAAAACTCTTACTATGCGTGACTGTATTCTATCTGGTCTATCTGATTAGTCCCCAAAGAACAGGCCCGGTCAGAAGAGAAATCCCAAAGATGTGTTACGGCAGAAGTGATGGGGAGATTAACGGCTGCCGTGTCCACAGATGTTCTTTCCTTAAACTCTTGAGGACGCTCTCGCACCAACCTGAGGCTCTAGTATAATTAGCTGTTGCCTGAGAAATTTACCATCTTCAGGAAGCCAGAGCACAGCCTGGTCACAGCAGTCTGCATGGTGGCTGTAAAGCACAAAGGAACTGGGGGTATACACTGAGTTACTGGCTAGAGCACCCGGAAGAATCCCAGGAATCTCCAATAAAAAAAAGTCACTGCAACAGATTTCATATTAATACTGAACATCAGCTGGGCGTGGCAGCTCACGCCCGCAATCCTGCACTCAGGGAGGCAGAGGCAGGAGAATCATACTTGGGCTCAGTAGTTTTGAGACCAGCCTGAGCAAGAGGGAGATCCATCCCTAACTAAAGACAGAAAAACTAGCCGGGCATTGTGGCGGCTGCCTGTAGTCCCAGCTATTCAAGGAGACTGAGATGAGGCTCACTTGAGCCCAGGAGTGTGAGGTTGCTGTGAACTAGGCTGAGGCCATGGCACTCTAGGCTGGGCAACAGAGTGAGACTCTGTCTCAAAAATAAAAGTACTGAAATATCTTCACCAACACACTCAAATCAAAATCATGCCTGATTAGAAAAGGGAGGGAAGTGTGACAGTGTGTAGGAGTGCTTCGAGTTGTGTCTCAAACATAATAACTTAAAAAAAACCCTGAAAACCCAATTCCCACCCAAATGTGAAGGAGTCGACAAGACCTCATGAGTCAAAGTTGATCAGATTAGTGAACAGAGCTAAGGATGAAGTTGGTCTCTGAAATTATTTTTACTAGTTGTTTTAAAGGCCAAGAGCCCTGTGTGCGTGGTAGTCTACCAGAAGCCAGACTGCCAACAGTAGTACAATCTGCCCTGGACAACACCAGGGTCAATCATGCCTCGCACAGCTAGAACTTCTGATTCCCCCAGAACTTAACTACAAGTTGCCTGTTGTTGACTGGAAGCCTTATCAGTAACACAAACACTCAGTAATACATATTTTGTATATGTATTATATCTTGTATTATTAAGAAAATCAGAAGGAAGAGAAAATATATATACTAGTCATTAAGTGGAAGCAGGTCATCATAAATATCTCCACCTTCATCTTCACACTGAGCAGGCTGAGGAGAAAGAAGAGAAGGGGTTTGTCTTGCTGTCTCAGGAGCAGAGGCAGAGACATGAAATAATCCGCCTGGGACTGGACTCCCCAGTTTCAAACCTTGAAGTGTCAAGTGTGTATCCTAGCTCAAATTGATGACTAAGAAATTTTTTAAATTTACAAACGCAAAATTTAAAATTAGTCCAACAACCTTTCGTCTCCTTTTTCTGTGGACCTCTTGTCCTTTGCAAAAGAATTGTCCCACTCATTTGAAAGGTAATTAGGCTGAATTATATGAAATTGCCACATATTACACATTTTACATAGAAAAGTGATAACTGCATATGATTCTACTGAAACAATGGAGTTAGGGCTGCAACTTTAGATATAATGTCAAATGGAATTATTTTTAAAAGTCCTAGGAAAAAATACTCAAAGAATTAGGTACAAAGGAAGTAATTTGTACCTAACCCCACCTAGAATCAGTCCTAGACTGTTATGTTATATTAAACAAATATTTTAAATGACCAGTCTGTAATAAATTCCACTAACCATCCTTATTTCTTTGTTATAGTAAAAAATTGGGGGTGGGCATTTGTAATCGGTCATCTACTAGAACATGAAACATTTGATTACACATAGATGTTCTCAGAATATTTATTTGTTAAGCAGCAATTTGACCTCATTCCACTCATAACTATTATTTTAAAGTCAGGATAGAAGCACAAAAAAATAATAGTTAATCTCTTTAGCTGTTGATTGAACATGAATATAATGATGAGGTAATATAAAAAATACATATTATGAATTTAACTCCTAAATATTTATTACATTATTTACCTTCCACTTAATGGGTGATTTCATGTGAGACACCCACACTGCAAATCTCTTTGTCTCTCTGACATTGAATAATTCCCTTATCTCCAAAACAACTTGGGATGTCACAGTACATAGTAGGTGCACAATAAATGCTATGATAAGAGGGAAAATCAGGAAACATCACCAATTATTCTCAACAGGAGTGGTATGATATTTCCTTGATGATTTAAGAGCTCTTTAAACATAGAAGGGAATTAATTATTGTGGGTAAGCACTTGGAGGTAAAGAACATGGCAGTGTTTCATTAAATAACCTAAGATTGAAGGAAATAATTTCAAAATGAGTTATACTACGTTTTTGGCCTACAAACAAGAATTTTTTCTAGCTATGACAAAAGTAAAATATATAATACACACTACCCATGGAGAAAATAAGAAGTAAAGGGGAAAAGGGGCCAGACAAGCAGGCATGTTAAACGCAAAAGGAAAGATTCAGGAGACAAATGTGATGGAATGCTGAATTTAAACATTGATGAGCAGGACACTGAGGTGTTTTTTTCTAATTACTAAGGATTAGTATGACTTATGAAACAAGGAAAAAATGAGACCTAGTACCTTCTATTTCCTAGACTCTACTTAAAATTATACCAGGATAAGAAAAAATGGTCCAATTTTTAAGATTCCCAAAGAAGATTTCCCTGTTTTTATTGGGAACTACCCCTCAACATGAAAGAAACTTTCCTAACAAAAAAGTCTCCAAGTTTTTTGCACAAGCCCATTTCACAGAGAAAGCACATCTGATTCCTTCTAACCTAACCAACTCTACAGCAGGAACAGTGTGTGACAGGCAACTTCAAAACCAAGGTAGACACACTTGGCAATCCACTGTGCATGGCGATGAGAATTTGCCTTCTCATTACACACTCAGCCAAACATCTTGTCATTTGTACCTAGCCCCAGACTACATTGTAGTTGGTGAGAAGAAATGAAGATGAAGTTTTTGTCCCCGCTGGGGACAACTGAGAACAATGACCTGTTATATTTCAGAGTTGCGCCTAATTAAGGAGGCCCACCAGCAGGAATCATTTTGCATTTTCTTAACAGCTTGCTAGCAAAGACATTTGAAAGTGAAATGTTATTCACTGTGCCATGAGGCCAGAAGAAAAAAAAAATTAGTGACCAGAAAATAAGATGAATAGGCTTAATTCTACAGAGAAAACAAAAATGCCATTCAAAAGAAAGAGTAGGAACCACACTACAGTATTTTAAAGTCTGGAGCATCTCTGTTTGACAATTGTGTGTTTACAATAAACCCAAACATAATTGCTCTGATGGGCTGTCAGGGAAAAGATTAATTTGGCAAAGATTAGTATTGACTTGCTGTTTATTAAGGCTTTTAAACAGCTGTATCTGGCAGCATTCCTGTAAGTGGCTGTCATATCTGAAAATCAGCCTCACACCCTGGTGCTTGCCAGCTGTTACTAAACAATCTTCTACCACTTTGAATGTCTTTCTCCAGGCCAAACAGCAAGAGCAAACTATTGCCAAATGAGCCTTTTCTCTTGTCACTTTTTTTTTTTTTTTTTTGGTGGGGGTGGGGAGCTTCTAAATGCTGAAATGTCAGCTCAGGGCTGATGGCTTAGCTGATAAGAGGTGCAGGAAACCAGTAGGTGGTTTGGGTGCTAGCTGAACAGTCCCCACACAGAGAGCAGGAGTGGTAGCACGGTTAGTCACCTCACACAGACAAAAAACCCACAGCTTGCAACTGTTGGAGTCAAAAGATTTTAAAGACCGTTAGAAAATGGAGATCAAAGGCTTAAAGCCCTTGGAATTCCAAAATTAGCATTTTGTTTCTTTAGGCCTGGCACATTCCCTGTCGGACATATTGCTAGAGAAAGACCCAACAGGGGAACTTGGAGGGAAAGTTCAATAGTGGCTGTTAGGCTTTAGG